GCAAGACTTTTCAAGAGCATAACCACCGCTTGTCGCTTGTGTTTGATTGCTTACGCGAAGCTGGCCTTGTTTTAAACTCAAAGAAGTGTCATTTTGGAGAATGTCAAGCCCTCGTATTAGGCTTTCTCATGGATAAAGAAGGCGTGCGACCAGACCCACAGAAGACCGCAGTGGTTCGCAACTTTGAACCACCACGAACAGTGAAGGACCTGCGAAGTTTTCTGGGTCTGTGCTCATATTTCTGCCGATTTATTAAGAACTTCGCACAACTTGCCTCACCACTGACGTCCCTTCTTCATAAAGACACACCGTACTTGTGGGATGATAAATGTGAGGCTGCATTTCGACAGCTAAAGTTTTTATTGACTTCAGGACCCATCCTAAAGCATTTTGATCCTGATGCTTTGACTGAAATTCATACTGATGCTAGTGGGCTAGGTGTTGGTGCTGTGCTGGTCCAACCCTGCAACAGCCGCCAGCACGTCGTAGCATATGCCAGTCGGACACTAACCCGAGCAGAGACGAACTACACCGTCACCGAGCTCGAGTGCTTAGCAGTCGTCTTCGCCATTAAGAAGTTCCGACCGTATCTACATGGCCGCGAGTTCACAATAGTGACCGATCACCACTCACTATGCTGGCTTGTGGGACTTCGTGACCCGTCTGGCCGGCTGGCTCGTTGGGCGTTGCGCCTCCAAGAGTACAGCTTTTCTGTTACCTATAAGAGCGGACGATGTCACACAGATGCCGACTGCTTATCCCGCCTTCCTTCAGTGCACACCAATGCTGACGACAATGACATTGATGACTATTTAGTTTCTGTCTCGTCCGACTTCCCAGATACCAGCAGCTTCAAACGTGAGCAGCAGCGCGACCCTACCCTGAAACCCTTGCTTGAAGCTGCACATAAGTGCACAAAGTGCTTGTCCATCGACAAGCACTTTAAAATTTTAAATGGCTTGCTGTATAAAAGAAACTATTCAGCCGATGGCCTCCCCTTGCTTCTGGTGGTGCCGGAAAGCCTGCGCCTGGTCGTCCTTCGTTCTGCGCACGATGACATAACATCCGGTCATCTCGGCTTCACACGTACGCTACATTGACTACGTGAGAGGTTCTGCTGGCCGAAAATGTGGAAAACCACAAAACAGTACGTCACCAGCTGCGCTATATGTCAGCGCTACAAGCGATCCACCACTGCCCCGGCAGGTTATTTGCAGCCCATCCCTTCACCGACATCCCCTTTTGAAAAAGTCGGCATCGATTTGCTGGGACCCCTTCCCAAGACCCCATCGGGACACTGATATGTTATAGTGTGTGTGGATTATTTAACGCGTTATACGGAAACGGACGCACTGACATCGGCCACAGCAGCCGCTGTTTCTTCTTTTCTGTTACAACGGGTCATACTGCGTCACGGTGCTCCACGGGTTGTCATCAGTGACCGTGGACGACAATTTATGGCCGATGTGGTTGAAGAAATTTTGCACCTCTGTGGCTCCTATTATCGCCACTCCACCCCTTACCATCCGCAAACTAACGGTCTCACTGAGAGAACAAATTGAACTCTCAGGAATATGCTATCGATATACGTTGATGCTGACCACAGGAACTGGGACGCCGCCTTACCGTTTGTTACTTACGCGTATAACACCGTCAAGCATGAAGTTACTGGACATTCGCCCTTCTTTCTGCTTTACGCACGAAATCCACGGAGTTTTCTGGACACTCTATTACCTTTCTCGCATCAGGAAGATCTGTCCATCGTTCAGACGTTGTGTCGCGCTGAAGAAGCACGTCAACTAGCGCGCCTTCGAACATTGTCTTCGCAAGAACACAGCAAGAGTCGCTACGATGCCAAGCATATCCCCGTAGAGTTTTCTCCTGGTGACTACGTGTGGCTGTGGACTCCTGTCCGTAAAAAAGGATTGTACCGAAAGTTTCTAGCAAACTATTCCGGCCCATTCGTGATAGTCACTCATCTCAGTGACGTGAATTACGTTGTCACCCGAGTCACAGCCAATAACCGGCGTTCGCGCACTACGCAAATTGTTCATGTAGCCCGCCTCAAGCAGTACCATCATAGGCCTGTTTAACTCGCTCGGCGAGCTTCGTCTGCCGCCGGGGGAAATGAAACGAAGATGCGCAAGCCTACGGGGCGCGGAAGAAGAAGAAGAGTAGTGGAGCGGCACCTGGACTGTGTGGTTAGGTGGAAGCGTTCTAGGCCTGTCTCAGAAGTACGCTGCTATTTCACAACGCCATTTCACCTCATCTGTAAATAAACACTGTCACTCGTAACAATATGTTAGGGTAATTAAACTCACCCAGTAATACTATCGGTGATGAAGGATACTGTGTCACAATGCAACCGAGTACATCGTGTAAGTCTGAAACAAAGGTAGGGGGATTATTGGGCGGTCGATAGCAAACGCCAACAACTATTTTCTGATGCCCGAATACAATGCATGCCCAGACGGTTTCTACTTTTGTCTCAGCATTGATTTGCAATGATTTGAAAGTGTTCGATATGGCAAGAAGAACACCTCCCCCATGACGGTCAATGCGATCACGGCGATAGATAGAAAACCGACATGAATCAATAAATATTTCATCGTCCCACACTGCAGTGTTGAGCCAGGTTTCTGTTAGAGCGATAATGTCAAAGCCAGCAGTATCTATTAAGGAATGTACTGAATCATGCTTGTTAATTACGCATCTAGTGTTTCACAACAATATGGACGCACTATGATGAAGTGAGAATACATTAGCCTCCTCGCAGAGCCCTATGATGAAGCGGGAGTTATATCTTTAGCATTGCATAAGGATGTAGCAGCTGATGCATCATGTAAGGGACCGCTGTTAGCAGGCTGGCTGATAACTTTCGCACACTTTATATTCGCATCATACACATAGCATGTCTTGTCCACAAACAGCTTATTATATCGTAATTGAAAATGAGGAGACTGAGGCAAACTTTTAGCAAATTCCCGCAAATATTTTCTCTCTAGACGAGTACTCGGCGAGAAATGTTCGGATACAGATACCTTGCCATACCGCAGTTGTGACCTTGAAGATAATATGTTGTCTTTTGTTTTTTTACGAAGAAAACTTAAGTACCATAGGCCGACACTTGGATGCAGAGTAAGCACCTATACGATGCGCGTGTTCTGTTGCCTCGCAAAAGTGTTCATTGCCAAGGACAGTTGATAAAGCTGCTGAAACTTTTTGCTCGGTTTGGTCCCATGTTTCTCAAATATAAGGAATATTATACTCGATTAAATTGTTGCACCTAGATCTGTCTTCTAACTCGTCCAGACGTGCCTGCATGCTGTTTCGTGTCAAACTGTTCTGCGGGTTGAGGATTGGTGAAAAAAAAAAGGCAACATTGCCGACAGTAGCCAAAAACGATTCAATTTTTTATGAAGACCACCAGGAAGTGCCGTGTTAGTGGAAGGGGTTGATGAAAGCTCAAGGGCAGTGAGACGCGATTCAAAGGCAGCAAAACGAGAATCTACAGAAAGTCTCAGATCTGCAATGTTTTTAGTTATTTGGTTTTGGCCATCGATTAGTTGGGAAAGCATGTTAGGTATAGAGCGGTCATTATCAGTCGTAGTTCTAGCAGCAGTAGTCGACAAAATTGTGGGACGAGGCCCAGGATTAAGCTCAACATCACTGCTTAATAAAATACTGGTAATGCGATGCATAAGTTGTGCGAAAACCGACAAGAATGACATATTGCAACACTGTGGGCAAGGAAACAGCAGCAGGAAACGATCATCAGACCAAAAACAATAGGTATTGAAATAGTGTACCTGTGTAAAGAACAGGCAAGATTTCAGCATTGTAGCCGCGCCGCTGTCACCTGGCCCTCTGAAGAAGTGGGATAGCTGCGTGAGTAGTTTATCTTGTCCCGGTAGTGGTGTCATGGCACTCCGGAAACTAGCGATTGGGCTGGTTAGGGTGACGTCACTTTGATTCCTGTCGCACTTCGCTTGAGTGGGAACAAGATCGGATGAAGCAAAGCAGTGCACCGGAAGGTAGATAGGGGAGGCACAGTACACGCAGCTGTGATCAGGCGAATTCCGGCCAAGGAGCGATAAAGTGACCAGGTCGTCTCAGGAGCGGCAAAGGTACTCGAGGTGAAGCCGTCCAAAGTGGCTGTAGTGCACCGGCCATCCATGTTGCCGGCAGCAGTCAGGTGATGCAAGGAAGTGACACCAAGGCCAACGGCATGCTGCGTAAAGAACAGGCAAGATTTTGGCATTGTTTGAGGCTTTCGTGACTTGACGTCTCTTAATGAGGTTTTTCATTTCCTGGGATGGCTTGCAGTGTCTTGTCTGATGACTGTGCCCGACTTCCATTGCACATTTCTTATCTTTTAATGCTTGTAATATCCGATAAAGGACATCAAATGCAGAACAATCTGCTAATCCTGATATGAATGTTCTTTTTGTTGCACCCTGCTGTGTTATGCATGCACGAGTAACCATGTCTCTACTTCATATACAGTTTTTCTGATTAATAAAACTTCAGTTATCCTGTATGGTTCTTCTAGTCTGTCTTTCAGTGCTCTTCAACCAAATTTTCAAGCATTACACCTGTATCATGTAATGTTGACATGCATTGTTTATGCCGTTGCCATGAAATTAGCCAGCAGTGTAACTGCTTGACATCACACCAATATTACGCCTGCATAATGTCTTTTCCCAAAGCAGTTTCAAGACCTGGCATGGCTGTGTGGTAAAATACTTGACTGCAACACACAATGATTTGGTTTCATTCATGATGGGATCCTGATTTTTTTATCTTTTGCATTCGTTGGGCCAACGCCGCTAGTGATGGCCTGTCTTTACGGCAGATATTATGACGGCTGTGGAATTTTAGTTTTGTTATGGAAACGATAGCTTAAGTGAAGCGTGCGCAACCAAAGTTAGTGTCTAGCTGGCATAAGATTGAAATTGACATTGTCAATAGAAATCGATACCTTTATTGTACACTCACAGGCGCTGACCTACCTGTATGGCCGCTTCCCGCCCAAAACGGATGCGACCGCCGGTGGTAGGCTGCGGCCGTCATTTCGGTCAAGCTGGAAACAAGGTTCACGCCCTCCAGTGGCCACTGCCAGCTTCGGAGGACAGCCAGCTCGCCTTGTTGTCTGCTGGGATGCACACTGTGGCCAGACATCAGCCAGCAAAGCACCCTGTTGACTGCATCGACACAATCTTAGTGTTTGCGCTTACACTTGCAAAGGACATTTCATAGCTTGCCCGTGATCGATATAGCTGAAGGTGCTGCCACAAATGAGAGGGAACAGTGGAACATATTTTGCTAAGAACCGTGTTTCCAGTGTAGGTTAATTTGCAAATTTGAGAGGTATGCAAAAGGAAGGATTGCTGGAGTTGACTTATTCTTAGAGCATGGAGGGGAAAAATCGCTTGCACGAGCTATTCGTGTGGCTGACCTAGTACAAAGATGTAGCATGAAGGTACAGTTGAGTCTATATTTGTGCGCCGAGTGTCTGAAATGGTACTGTTGCACCAAGCAGTCATGACTGCCTTGTTTATAGATTGTGCCTGTTAATTAGATGATGTGCTTAGTGTTGCAAAAGCGAGAGTTGGTGTGTGTCCATATTGGAACTACACAAAAGAAAGGAAGTCGGCACTCATGTTTGTAAAGTCTTTCTTAATGCTTCGTCTTTTGGGCTTAGATGATGGGCTTAGTGTTTCAAAAGCAAGAGTTGGTTTGTGTCCATATTGAAACTACACAAAAGACTGAGCACAAAGAAAGTCGGCACTCATGTTGTCAAGTCTTTCTTAATGCTTCGTCTTTTGGGCTGTTCCAATTTGATTGCTTAGTGTTGTTAAAATGCCAAGCAAAAAAAGCATCTCAGTTTATTTATAAGTTGCTTGTACTTAGCGGAACCAATTGAAAAAGGAGCAACTGGAATCTGTGTGCACAGTCATTCGGCCTGTGCGGACAATTCCAACTATTGTGAGTGCAGTTGAGTGGCAGAGCCACAAGTGTGATGTCATGTGCTCTCACCTGCTGCTAGAGATGGCAGAGCTATGTGTAAGAAACACAGACAAGAAAAAATTTACTGCAACAGAGAAGTATTTCAGCTTGTTAAGGTGCGTTTAGGCTAGAGAGACACAACACCGAATTCGGTGTGCTGAATGTCTTGGGAGTGTCTTTTGTCTTGTCGTCGTCCTATGTACACTGCAAAGACACAAACAGTCCACCGATGGTCTCCCGAAGACTTGTGAAAACTCTACGCGTGCCTTGTCTTGCTTGCAGTCTTTCGTTGGCGAATTCTGTAGTCACCTTGGAGGCACTAAACTTGCACACCTGCATCTCATTTTCAGCCATGCTCTCTGCTCGTTCATTGTAGACTTCCTTGGGGTGCACTAGACACCTATTCAGACACTGCGGAAGCCTCTGAGAGAGCATTGTTATCTCACTCAAGATTGCCCCTTTTGTAGTCGTTTGAAGCAAAGACATGGATCAAATTTTCGCTCAGCTGCAGATTTCCTGCAGACACTCCAAGGACAGGTATGCGGATGCATTTTGCTGGTGTTTTCAGTCTATCATCATGTTACACTACGACGACATGCTGTCTTTTGAGGCGTCTTCGTCGGCAGCAGCCTAGTGGGGACTGGCGACTTCGTCGGTGGGCAACTCTTCGGCCTATGGTCTGCGTCTGCCTCGTGTCTTCATCGGGCTCAAATCAGTGTCGTGTCGCTCTAGTGTTAACACGCCTTCAACTTACTCAATAACTTTGAAGACTGTAATGTTCTTTTTTTTTTTTACTTTTAAATAACTTTTAGTTGTTACATTAGAGAACCATGTAGTAATATCATAGCACATTGCGATCATAGAACTACTGTGGAACCATTTCATCATCATCATCATCAGCCTGACTACGTTCACTGGTGAAATCATTTACAGCATTAGAAATCAATACAGGCGAGTGGTGGCAGTTATCTCACGATGAACGTTGACGTTACACAAAACACAGAGTGAGCAACATGGCATCTTTCTTGCTTATTGTGAGCTTTTCTGTTTGTTTTAAAATTAAATAATGTGAAACTTCGTTATAGCAATGTTCATCTGACACAAAATTATTGCTTTCTTAATCCCAAAGTTTTTTACAATCATAACAGTGTTTTATTGGCAAGATTATCCTTCAATTACTATACTATAAACAATAGTTTGAGACAGTATTCGTTTTATTGTCGTTTAGCTGTAGCTAATTCGGTTGCTTGTTTCGAACGCAAAGATGAGAGGCGTCACTTCTGTGCACTTTTTCTGCAGGCCTTGAACACGAAAGATGTCCGAATGGGTGGTTCAAAAGAGCTTTCAAATTGCATAGTGCATAATTAATTAAAGTTACAATACTCATTTTGAAAAGGTGTTAAACATGTACATTATTGTACATGTACATCACTGTACATTATTACTGTGCTCATGCAGCCTTTACTTCATGCGTCTGCCACAGTGACCTTTTACCAGCGAGCTGACTGTGGCGTACTACAGATGTGCTGGAGTTGCTGAGCCGCTTTTCACACTTTCAATTTTATTAACATGGGATGGGACCCTGGTCCCGTGTAACCCACTCTTCTTGCTCTGACTCATTAGTAACTTGTTTGGAGCTGAAAAATTGAGGCCAGTATACATGTTACACTAGTGCCACATGACGGACTGCTGACCGTGGTTAAGCCTTATCGTGTTCAAATGTCTCATCTCGATTGGTTCTCTTGCACAGCTTGGCTTGAAGGAGACAGTCATAATGGAGAAATTTAATCCAGAGCTTGGTAGTGCAAAATCAATGAAGACGGGAAGGAACAGAGGGCAGATCACTAATCGGGCTCGATTATGATCACAACTGACTGTGTGGCACCAATGTTACTGTTTCATGCATTCTTTTTCAGTCTGCAGGTGTAACTATGAGCGTAAGAAACTATGGCAACGTTTGCTTGGAAGATTTTTCTTCAGCGTTTTTAATGGCTGGACTGCAAGTCCACTGCAGTATGCAGTCTCTGGCTCCAGTTTCAAAGGAATTCATCATTTAAATATTCAAAACATTTTGTCAGAAGTAGGTTTTAAAAAGTTGTGCCAGGGCCTCCAGAAAAACTTTGTTCTTAACAACGACTAAACCGCCACAAGTTATTCAAAAAAAAAGAAATCTAGCTCATGATTGCACCAGACTGTGTCTTCTTTGGTCTATTGGATATCAGTAAAATGCCAATTTCACAGATTTTTTTACAAAGTGTGTCCCATCTTATCTTTTGCAAAATGCAAAATCAAATCTGTAATGGCACTCACGTGTTCGCACTATGCTTTCACAAGTTTTTTCCCTTTATTAACATCATTTTTTTCCTGGCAAATAGCTGTACTTTATTTTCTGCTGAACCAAGCAATCATTACTTAACAATATAATGAGAATCGAGTATCGAAAACATATTTTATCAATGCAAAAGCACGAACAGTATGACACCCCCCCCCCCCCTGCACTGTCCTTAAAGAGGTGAAGACAAGCCTCTTCTCACTAGGAGGTTTGTTTATTTTTGCAATGAAGATAGTTAATCAGCATACTGGAATTATTCTCCTAACAGGGATCACATGCAATCAATGAGCTGTAGCTGTTATTGTTGATGGGCCTCTGGAATCGGTTGTGTTTTGTGCACACAAAAAGAAAGTGCATCGAACTGGGTGTGTGTGATCAGGAGGCATGGACTGCGAGCGACATCGCTAATCGCTGTTAGACTTGTAAACTTGCTTGGAATATGACTTAGAAGCCAGAGATGTCTGGGAGGATCACGAAGTTGTTGATTAAGTACATTGCATTGTGATGCTTTGAGCAGCAAAAAAAAAATAACTCGTTTTTTTGCTGCTGCTGCTACTGCCGCAGTGCTTCCGACCTGAAAGATTCAATGCACGAATCAGAGGAATAATATTTAGGATAAATAAACCTGACTGAATTTTGTTGGTTTGTTTTCTAAAATTAGGTTTAGTATTGGTGCACCATGTAAAGAATGTGTGTTTGCGTCTTTTATTTGATGTACTGCAAGCTTGAAAGCACCTGGTGTGTATATTGGGGCACATGGCCAGGCAGACATGTTTTAGCTGAGTTCCGGCAATGTATATATGTCATGGAGGTTCGTGCTATGGAGGGGATTAGTAGCATCTTTATTTCATTATATTTTAATTATCTGTGAAAAGTCTAATCTGAACTGGTTGGTCAATTAACTCAAGAGTATAGATGAGTAGAGCCTGCCATGCTTCGTCATGGTGCTTCACAAAAATTGTTTCGATAAGTGACTATCTGTACCTTACTAACTGTACAAAAACTGTGTATAGTTAATAAGGCATGCAATAATGTGTGCTGCTAAAGTTATCCAACGATAAAATGTGTTAATTTTAAGGTTTTTAGGCCTGAAATTACTTTTGCATCACAGGCAAGATTTAGCTTTAAAGTCTCCTAGGTAATAGCTTGTACCCGACCTATTAGCAATGGATGCAAAGTCGCGGATTGTTGATGGCTTAGATACTCCAAAAAAAGCATTCTATAAAGATTTGTCTGAAGACAGGATGTATATTCGTGTCTAATTAATAAATGCATTTAATAATTGGCCACAACATGTTGAAGGAGTTTACAGAAAGACAAAGTTAAATAATGTTTTGTATCCTTTTATAATAGACATGCGCTTGGGAGCAATTCTTGTCTTTGACATGAGGTGTCTTTTATAAGCAGGGTACCACGCATGCATTTTTTTATCAACCCATTGTGCCATCGTGCACAATACAAACGAGAAACTGACAAAATTTCTACGCAAATACAACATCATATCTAACTACCAGTATGGATTTTTAAAAGAAAAGTCCACAGAGCAGGCATTGCTTCATGTAAAATAAAAAATTATCGAAGCAATTGGCTACAAAAGGCCTTTGATTCTGTCCATCACGAAGTGCTGTTGTTGAAGCTTCAACACTATAAGATAAGCGGCATTTCATTAGAACTCATGACAGATTATTTACGTCATCAATGCCAATTTACAGCAATAAATAACTTTTCATCCAGCCGTATAAATGTCACAACCGGAGTACCACAGGACCCGATACTCGGGCCAACTTTATTCCTGCTGTATATTAATGATATAGCGGGTATAGGTATTAAACAAGACATCATAATGTATGGAGATGACACCAGCGTATTTTTTATTGCAAAAGACATGAACCTGTTGAAAATACTGACAAACTCCTATCTAGAAGAATTAGCTATGTGGCTGCATCATAATAAGTTACAGTTAAATGCAAATATGACTCAGTACATATTATTTCCACCACCAAATAAGTGGAATGTAGGTAACACAGTAATTAAATATGGATCCACAAAAATTACAGGAACAAAGGAACAGAAAACATGACATGGAATATATGCACATTTCACACTTGACAGCAGACATACCGTATTTACTCGATTCTACCGCGCCCTCGATTGTAATGCGCACTCGGTTTTCACGACGAAAAAAAAAAAAGTAAGACATTGATTGCAACGCGCACTCATTTTTTTCGTTGGCCCGCACGATCACGCTACTCGGGAAAACAACTCCTTTCGGGAGCGTCTTTCATTTATATATGAGGTACAGGGGAAGCTTGTGCCTATCTGACGTGCAATGGAGCATTGCCGTCACTCTTGTTTTACCGAGGCCCGATGTCAGCATGCGAACTTGCTTCGCCCCGTTCTTCTCGACGGTTGCTGTGCCAGGCATGTCGAAGTAAAGAGGCGTCTGATCGGCATTCTCGATTTGTACAAGCGGGTAGGCGTTGTTGTGCTGCAAGTTTAGGACGAACCTCTGAAAACTGTGAAGCTTTTCTTCGTACTCCTCAGGCAAGTTTTGGCCCATGCCCGTTGCTTTTCGAAGGGAAAAGCCTTTCCTCTTCATAAAGTTAGTTAGCCAGCACCTGCTCGCTTTGAACTGGCTCCGCCTTAGCCCTTTTTCTAAAGCTAACTGCATAGCCCGCACTTAGAGCAGTTCTGTCTTCACGGGCCGCTGTGTCGCTCGCTGCTCAAGCACATACTCGGCGAGCAGCTCTTCAATTTGCGGAAACCGGCCCTGCTGTGGTTCACTGAAGCCTTTGCGTGAATCTTTGCTGTCGACAATCTTCGGCTTTTGTTTCCGTCAGTCCCGCACGCACGTTTCGGGAACTCCGAACGACCGCGGTGCGGCCCGATTTCCGCCTGTTCCGGCACACGCGATGACTTTTCTTTTAAAAGCAGCATCGTGGTGCCGCTTTTACACACAGGCAGAAATGGCCGACGCGCCATGCGGCCCATGCCGAAGCACACGGAAGAAGGAAAGGTAAAGAGAGGGCATGCGCAGCCAGCGCATGGCGTAAAAAATGTGGCGGAAATTACGTCACACGCAGCCATATTTACTAAGGCACAATGGCGACGTTTTGTTATTGTTGATGTAGTGCGGTGCAGCACTGTTCAGGCTGTCCAGCGGCGGTGTGCGCGTTTTCATGGGTCTCGCACCTAACCGTGGCGTACTGCAGGTGTTGGACAGCATCCATTCTTTGTGCCGCATTGTTAGCTATGCGATTTACCTCCGGTGGTGGTTGTAACCAGGTGTCTGAACTAGATACCATAGAACGAGCGCGCGTATACGTACTCCGAATTTGCAGCGTCCGTCAAAATTATGCTGAAAAGCCATCATAGAATATAACGACTGTGCTGAAGAATTCGTTCAATGAATGCCTGGCAGGTTAGTGACGGTTATGCGGTGTTGCTTCTTATGACAACGGACGATGCATTTGCGGTACACAGGTCCTTATTAAGACTGTAATCTAATCTTGCTTTTCATGTTCCTGTACAGTTACCACATGCTTCTACGCATTAAAGTTCCTGTTCTGCTTCGCTTAAGATGCTCCCTCTTCGCAATATTGTCTCGCTTTCCGCAATATTGTCTGTATTGTAGCAAAACTCGTTTAAATGTCTACACGCACCTGCACAACGTAACCAGGTACACCTCACTAGATGCGCGTGCTTGTGCATTCAGAAGCTGACAAAGCCGTTCGAACGATGCTGACCAAGTGATGTTGACCTTTTCTCACGCATTCCTTCGGCTAACTTTCCCACCTTTTGCGCTAACGCAATCCTGGTCTCTGGTCTCAATAGCTACTAGTGCGCGTGAATCACGCTGGAGACATGTTCCCACGCACTTTCAGGTGGTCTTCGCTACTTTTGTCCGAATGAAATCATGGCCTTTGGTATATCCGTAGGAACCAGTGCGCGTCGGACAAAAGAGGGGCGAAAACAAAGAGGTCGGCGCAAACTCAACGGGCTGCCACGCACACAAGCTCCACCGTGACGCCGATTTTACTGGCATAATACGGACCTAAGGGTTTATTGCAGGGAATTCTATTTTTTCTTTTTTCATCATTGTGTCTAGCCTACAGTCTGACCGAAAATTTCATAAAGGCTAAAGAGAAGCGCAAAAGGGGGAAAAAGTGATCTGAAAAAAGCTGTACAAATTTCGGTGCCTGGTTCATCGCGCGGCAATGTCGGAAATATCATCTTTATTTTCACAAAGAACACATCAAATAAAAAAAAGCCTAATGTGCAACTTGCCGTGTTTATTGTAAACGCCGGCAGTGCAAGTGTACAACAGCCATATGCAACACGCAACATGCTGTCTTGCCGTGATACGTCAACCGTATCACGGCAAGACAGCGTGTTGAAATCCGTTCCGTTGGTTTCGGATAGCACCAGCGCACGCGGCGCGCAGGCCACGTGCTTTTTGAGACAGAGAGAGAGTCGCGCCTTCTGCTTCGCTTCCATATGTAAACAAGAGAGAAGAATTTGCCCAGTCAATATGGCCCACTTCCGGCTTCATCGCGGCTTCACAACGAGTCACCTCAGGGCCTCTCCTTACATTTCCTTCCTCCGTGCCGAAGCATGTAGGGGGCGGTCATTTTGGAAATGCCGATGGCAATAGAATGATCGTATTCATTTTTTTCGCCCTCGATTTTAACGCGCATGCGATTTATGAACTCACTTAACCGGAAAAAAGGTGCGCATTAGATTCGAGTAATTACGGTAGCTGAAACCATAGGTTGCATTTAGAGAGTTGGTTTTTTATACCACTGTGGCTAAAAAGACAACTTTACTACTCATTAGTGTATTCACTACTGACATACTGCGCTCTAGTTTAGAGAACAACTACAGACACCAATTACGATAGGCTGCTAGTTTTACAAAAAAAAAAAGGTACTGTGTATATTTCAAAATTATATAGGAGACATACGCGACTTACATGAGAATTGTTCATAAAGTACAGCATAATAAAGCCCAACCAGATCTACTTATTCGAATAATGCAGTATATGCACAATAAAAATGCCCTTAAAGAAAACAATTATACTGAAACAGACAGATCAGAAATATTTAGAGTCGATTGCCTAAAGTGAGAATGAATTATGGAAAGCAGACATTGAATTACCAAATTGCACATTTCCTGGACAAATACAGAGGCATTGTCTGCTAGACTGATTCTGCAAAAAAAAAAAAAACATATATTGAAGACACATTTCATTACCTCTGAAGTTGGTGATTAACTGTTTATATACTATACAAGTTGCTAGTGATTCATTTGCAGTAAACTCATATGTATTCTACGTTTTTGTAACATTTTCTGTAACAGGGCTTTGTAGCATTGTATTTCTGTAACACTGTAGTAATCACCACTGTCGTAGCATCTCATTACCACTCCATTTTGTACATAATTCATTTTTTGTATATGTGCGGTTTTCAGCGTTACTGTTTTCCTTTTTGTATTGTATACCTGCTCCGAACTCCGGAGGGCAGAGGCCTTAGTCAGGCGATTAAGGCCTTTGACCTCTGTCTTCTCAGGGCACACCTGAAATAAGGCTGTATTGAATTGAATTGAATATTTCAGTGCAGTCCCACTGGTGTCTTTTATACTCATTTGTCTGTTACATGGCTGTCTGCTCTAAAGGGGTTTGTATATTGCTCTGTAGTTTGTTGCCGATGTGCAGTCATGCTTGTTAGCAGCAGAACAATCCTGGCTGTTATTCTCAGAACTGCTAGATGTCCTCAATGACTTTCCTAAGGTGAAATATTGAGGTATTGTTTTGGCACAGCTTAAAAAGAATGGTGCATTGACTGACTCAGGTGACATCTTTGTATAGAGAGGTGTTATGCAACATCGAATAAATTCTTTTTAATATAACTCTGATAATTTTTGGGGTGGTTCTGAAAGGAACACCATAGGAATAGGTCATTGCCAATGTTTTGTTTATCACTGTCGGCTGTGCCATTGTGCACAATGGAGTACACCGAAAGAAATTGGTGAAAATTTTATCAAACACTTTTGATGAACTGTGTAAGCAATGTAGTTTTGCTTGGCGTTCGAGCTTCTTCCACTATTCTCACGTGATGCCAAGGGTTTTTACGTTTTGTTTGTTGTGATTTCTTAATCTTATCTGGCAGAGAATTGGCATGACAGTATTAGCACAGGTTTTTTTAGTGCTTTCCAAAGTTTAGCGGATACATGCCTTAAAGGTTCTGCTTTTGTCATTTGCCTGACAAAGCAATTGACAATGAAATTGT